CTCCACAGCCTCCCACAGCCTCCCACAGCCTCGTGCTGACCGACCCACCTTACAGACACCTGGGCCCTCCTGCTGGGAGTCCTGGGATGGCCCCCGTCTGCTGCCACTCAAATCTGAACCCCACCTGCCTTCCAGGGTGCTCTGTAGTGGGCCTCAGCGACCCTTCCCACCGCGCTCTTCCCCCAACACGCACCCTCTGGTGGGTGTAGAACAGCCACACGACCCCCGAACATGGCACGCTCGGCCCACCCCCACTCTGACATTTGTCCCAGGTCTGGAATGTTCTTTCCTCCTATCCAAGGAGAGCCCCTCCAAGGCCATCTCCTCTGTGACCTCCAGGCTGCTCCCTCCTGTTTAACAGCAATTCCATCACAAACGTCCTTGGCCTCTTCCCTCGCCCACCAGAGCAGGACGTGGCATGCGGTCGCTGCCTGTCCAGCTTCACACAACCAGCCAGAGGCAGGACCAGAACCCCTCTCCCAGGTCATAGGGGTGGCAGCCCCTCGGGGGGACAGTGTAAACCTGGGACTGTCCCTCACTGGAGAACCGGCTTCGCTGCGTCTCTTCACAAGGAAGTGGAGCCAAGTCAGAGACCTGCTGGCGGCTCTGCTTCCCCCACCTTTCCCAGGGTCATTAACAAAGCACTGGGGAAGCTGCAGCCCTGCCCGCCCAAACCCCGGACAGCAGCCGGTCAGCCCAAAGCTGCAACTCGGGCCCAAAACCTGGCAGTCTGATGTCGCATCACCTGTCTCCACCTGGCCGCCCGCACGGCCCCCTCTCCCCTCGCTTAGTCGTCCTCCCCACCGTCAGCCCCTGGCCTGCTCTTCACATCCAGCTTTTCATAACAGACACTGATGTTTTGATTTCCTACAGAACTCAGTGGAAGCAAAAGCCTAGAATGTAAATGTCGCTTGAGACCACCAGGGCATTTTCAACACTCAGAACAGCTTAGGAGTTTGAGTAACTTACTGCAGTCAGCTGATGAGCTTTGAATATATTTTCCACCTTTTATTTCCTCTGTACCATCCATTTTAAAAGAATGACAAGAAAAGATCTCCACCCATTCCAACTGGACAACTGTCCAAGCTTTATGAGAACGGTGAGTGAGTGGGACGGCATTTCTGCCAGCCTCTAGACCGGACGTGGCAACGCTCACCTGCCACAGTCAGGGAGCTGCCGGCAACCTGGGGACACATCTGGCCATTGACTCAGTGCCCGGCCGCTGCCAGCTGTGTCCTGGTACTGGAATGAGTTTTCATTTACTGTCCACTTACAGAGGATCGCATGGCGCAATGAGAATGGTCGTCTGAGCCGTAAGAGGCTATGTACCTTTCGATAGGCCTCTATAATAGATATCCCCCCAAATCCCGTGAGACCTGCAGAGATGTACCTTCATCTCTGCAGGTAACATAGCCAGCAGTGAGTTCAATGTGGCAGTGCAGGCTCCGAAAATGCTAATTAAAAATAAGTGGATTTTGTTAGCATTTAAGACTTTTCTATTTAATAAAAGATTTTGTTTTTGTAAAGGATTTTGAACACATATAAATTCTGAATTTCAGCCTTGAACTTTAAGAGCATATGTTACTAAACTAAGAGCATAAACACTGATGTTGCAGGCTGAGGCGTCTGGCACAATTT